CAGCAGCGACAAAGCCCGCAAACCGTTTCAACAAGCATGAGTGCGAAGTCGAGTGCAAGGAGACCAAAGTCGCCACGGTCAGTTTGACTCGGACTGATGTTCTTGTTCTGAATGCGAAGGGTGCACCTGCTGCAGATGCGGTCCTTCGCTTGCAGACCGTGGCTGGCGAGCTGATTGCAGAGTGCTTGCAGATGAAGCATGGGCAGTCAGCTTGTCACCTAGAACCTGAGCGTGCGAAGGCCTGTGATGAAGATGATTGTTTTCCGCTTGCGGACTAAACCTTTCCACCAAAGTTTCCAAACAATCTCACTTGGTGAGATGGGTTTCAGAATTATCTGTTTTTGCATTGCTTATTTTCCTGCATGATTTTCCTTTGCAGTAAGAATTTTCTAGTTGACATGTTTGTGAGCTATGTCAGCTTGAGCCATGCCTGTAAAGAATCTATCTTGCCGCCACAGTCGGCCCAACGGGGGGGAGAAAATTCTTTGAGGGTTTAGGGTTTAGGGTTTAGGGTTTAGGGTTTAGGGTTTAGGGTAGCCATTTTGGCTCAAGCCATTTTGGCTCAAGTCGGCCCAACGGGGGGGAGAAAATTCTTTGCGGGCCCCCTCTAGAGGCCCCTGCGCGTCCTAGCAGTCCCGAGGTGCTAACCGTGGTGTTTTTTAGGACGGACAGCGCTTCGCGCTGCATGCCCCCCCGCGCCGTGTGCTTGCGGCACAACCGTGCTCCTCCGCCTTTTCGCAGGCTCTTCCTTTTGCATCTTTTGCAGGAGAGTCGCCGAGCTGGGATCCGGGTTTTGATTCTGGGACCGACGCTACAGCAAGTTTTGGCGGCATCCGTAAGCTGCGACTTGCTTCTCTTTGTGGGCCTGGATACTTTCCAGGCGATACAAGTATCGTGTCGTGAAACGGCACGTATTTTTGCAGAGCTTTTGGATTTCTTTTATCGTCGAGAGCTACGCCTGCGGCGCCTTTACAATTTTCAGTGACATGCCTCCGTCTCCTTCATTTTTGGAGCGGGAGGGATCCAATGAGGAGACTGGTAGCCCAGAGCAACCGCCTTGGGTTTCAGAAGATGAAGACTTCAATGCTTTTCATTTGCTGGAAGCATCCGGCCGAGAGCCGGGAGACTTCGAGGATGAAGTTGATTTGGATGACGAGGCCAGTTGGTACCGCCAGGTGCAAGACCAACCTGAGGATGGTCGTGCAGACTCTGCTTGCTCCTGGGCCCTGCCGGGAGACGAGGGCTCGGCCGGAGTTTCATTAGAGCATGCGCCTAAGAAGTCGGTGACCCAAACCTCATTGCCGATGCTTCCTGCTGTCAGGTTTCAGGGCCCTGGGTCTGTGGATCCTCAGATCAATGCCTGGCAGGTGGACGCGCTTTTGTTTGATGTCAAGAGGAGAAGACTTAACAAGCCCAGGCAACCTTGGGAAGCAGGGCCTCTTGCTTTGAAGCTTCCGAGGGTTATGTCCGCAACTGAGCATTTGCTCCGCTCGAGACCTGTAGTGGGTATGGCTGATGTTCTCAATCCTCCTGTGAGTTCTCCACTGGGAGCTAGGGAACCCGAACCCATGCTGGCGTGGGTCGTTGAATCCCGACTTCGACATTTCAGGGTCGAGAGGTCGGACGAGGATTTGCGTGTGTTGGCTTTGACTAGGATCAGAACTCTGGTGATGCTTGACCCTCTGGCTTCAAGGCTGGGAAGGAGTTTGGCCAGCGAGGTTGAGAACCTCGCGACTGAGGACGAGATCTCATCTTCGTTCTCCCATGCTTTTGCAGCAAAGGCTTCCAGCACCATTTACAAGAGGTCAGGCTCGTTGTGCAAATTTGCTACCTGGTGCATGCATCGTGGGGTCTCGCCGCTTCGCTTCAGCGAGGTAGACCTTTATCGGTACATGTGCGGTCTACAGGAATCTGCAGGGGCTACTTCGGGAAGCCATCTTGTCGAGGCACTGAGGTTTCTCGACGGTGTCGTGGGTTTGGTACATGTGGCGATTGAGGAAATTTTATCATCCCGGTGCAGAGGCCTCGCTCAGGCTATGCATACCTCTAAGGCTCCGTTGAAGCAGAAGCAGCCGCTGACAAGGAGTCAGATTGAGGACCTCGAGTCCTTCTGCATCAGAGCTTCAAGTAGACATGTCTGCATCGCAGGGCAATTGCTTTTCTGCTTCCATGCTGCATCGAGATGGAGGGACTCACAAACCCTCCGACATGTGGACTTGGAAGTCGATTCGTCATCTGGCGAGTCTCTGGTTTTCGGAGAAGCGCTGGCTTCGAAGACAACCCTTACGGCGAAGGCCAAAACTACACTGCTTCCCTACGTTGGAGTGGGTTTAGGCCTTTCAAGGCAGCCCTGGGCTGAAGCCTGGATGAAAGCGAGAAGCGAAGAAGGTTTGACAGATGGTGATCCTTTCCTGCCCACATTTTGTGAACGTCGAGGCTCCTGGGGATCTCAGAGAATGTCTGCGCCCGAGGCCAGCATCTATCTTAGAGAGTTCCTCCAGAACATGAGCGGGGATTATGGGGACATGGCATCCCTGGGGACACATTCCATGAAGCGAACTTTGCTGAGCTGGGCGGGAAAATCTCATCCTATAGTTTTCAACCACTCGGAACGCCGCCTTCTGGGACACCACCTGGATCAGGAGAATAAATCTGTAGTGATCTACAGCAAAGATTCCTATGTGGCTTTGTACGGAAAGGTTTTGGGAATGTACTCGAGCATCCGCTCCGGTTTCTTTGACCCGGACATGAAGGCTGTCACTAGGATGAGGGTCATCGCGCGGCGGCTGGCCCAGGATGATGACCAAGAGCTCCCTGCCTCACCAAGGACCTCAGGACTTGTTCAGGATCAACGCGACGACCCGGTGCCGGAGGCCGCTGAGTCTGAAGCTGGCAGCTTGAGCTCTGGATCTGAGGCTCCCGATGGCGAGCTGAGGGTGCCGGGGATGTTGGGAGCTAGGTCACCTTTCGTAGGGGTCGACCTGTCAGCTTGCTGGACGCATAAGATTTCCGGCATCACACATGTCATCAGGGATGAAACAACTTTGATGTGCGGTCGTTTCCTGTCCTCCAATTTTGTTAGAACAGCGGAGGCAGGGATCGCAGGAGCGAACCCAGAATGTTGCCATCAGTGTAATCGGTGCTCGGAGTCGCACTGAGCATTGACATTAAAAGGGCGACGACTGCCCCGCGGGGAGTTCTCCGTGGCACGTTGGCCGGGTTATCGACTACCTGGCGTGGCAACGTGGGAGAGCTCCCGTGCCGCGGATTGCTGCTTGCTGAAGACTGAAGTGCAAGCTTGATGGCAGCTGGTTATCATGCATCGCATGCAGCCGGGGTGCTCAAAGTTGAAACATGAACAACTTCGAACTGAATCGTGTCAAGGGGTACATAACGACCTGAACGCACGACTCTCACTGCTGGCTTAACGTTCAAGGACTTGTCACCCATAGGCTGGAAAATCGAGCATGTACCTTGCAGGGTATCAAGATTGTTGAGGGCGGCTTTATCTTCGGCCAAGGTTTGCAGATCGAGCACGTACCAGGAGAGGTGTCGAAATTGAAAGGGCGGATATAAATCCGAGAGCGCCAATGGCTGCTGCGTCTCTGGATTCTGAGGCGTCTTTTAAAGAGCGAGCCCAAAAGATTGGGGTCACGCCCGAGGTCCTACAGGAGCTGGCCGAGGCAGGGTACACTACATTCGGTAGGTTGTGCTTCGCTGTCACCGCAAACCCTACGCAACTCGAAGACAGTGCTGTCGACTCTTGGATACGCAGCATCTTCAGGGAAGCCCCCACGCCATATCAAACTTCGTGTCTGAGGCGGCTATTGTTCGAGGCTAACTCCTTGAATATCGCAGATTTACATGCCAGGGTCGAGCCTCCAGCTGAAAACATTGTCAGACGCTTGCCTGCTGCAGAGCGGGCGGCCAGGGCCCAGGCTCAACAGGCACGGTTGGCTGGGGTGGTGTTCACTCCGGACACTACTCCGGCAAATAGCTTAGTAGATCTCTTCGTTGATCAGCTGGAGAGCGACATCTTGCAGTACATAGGTCCTGAGCGCTGTGTGTCCCGCTCGCAAGAGATGATGTCTGTCAAAAAGGACAAGACCCTCAACGTCGACCCCGAGGGTAGGATCCGCGTCACGGCCAAGCCTAACGAGCTCAGGTGTGAAACTTCGTCGGATGCCAAGCTGAGAGCTGCCTGGGGCCGTCGTTCGCTTGCCATGGATCTTGCAGGGATTTGTTCGTACATCGAGATTGAAAAGTGGGTGCAGCATTTGTTCTCAATTCAAGCTCGCGAGGTGCCGAAGGGAATGGCACCCATCAGTGTTAATCAGCTCATACAAGCTGACCGTGCCCTGTTTCTTCACGCGTCGGAAAAGCTGATGGGTCAGCTGTCAGCCCCAGCGGGTGCTCCCAAACCTTTGGATGGCGTCATAAAGGATCTTATGCACTCCCAGGAGGTTTTACAATTCGTGCAGCCGGTGCCGCGAGTGCCGGATCCCCCGCAACCTTGGCAACCTTGGAAGCCCACTGGAAAGGGTCGTAAAGGCAAGGATGACCCTAAGAAAGGGAAAGGCGACCGCACCGCTACTCCTACTAAGGTGGACATTCCTGAGGGTTGCGTTTCAAGGACTTCAGCCAATAAGCCAATCTGCTATGGTTTCAATCGTGGGACTTGCAAGTGGAAGGGCAAGTCGGGTAGATGTCAGCGAGGTTTGCACGTCTGCTGGAAGGATGGATGTGGGCGAACTAAACCTTTCTACGAGTGCACGCATTCCGATTGAAAGGAAGGGAGCTCATCAAAACCTGCCTTTGTAGAGCCTCCCGCGCACATGACCCGGCAGGACCAGTCCACTGCCACCATCGGTGGTACCGTGCCTTCGCCCCCAGCTGAGGAGCTGGCGGCTTCTTTTGTGCAACAGGGTCTTATATCTCGCCAGCAGGTGTGCCAGCTTCTGCAGGCGTTGCCAAACTCGCAAGGTCGTCGCCAAGGCGACGAGTTTTCCAAGTCCTTTGTTTCAGGTGCCTATGTCTTTTCCGGAACCTCGGGTGTGTGTGGAACCACTCGACAGTTCCCCAATTGCGTCAAGGCGTGTACTGCATTTATAAATCATTCTTTGCCAGGCCACACATATACATCTTTTGCTCTCTTCTCGCAGCTTGAAGCTTCGGTGCATGTGGACTCCCATAACCTGCCTGGGAGTCTTAATGCAGTCTTCGCTCTCTCCGACTTTCAGGATGGGAACATAATTGTTGAGGATGTGCAAGGCCCCGAACATGCCACTTATCGGGGACGCATCTTGTCAGGCCGGGTCGTTCCTTTTGTGAATCATGTTCTGCAGTTTGATGCTCAGTCCCAGCGTCACTGGACTCAGCCTTGGAAGGGGACGCGTCAGGTGCTAGTGGCATATAGCGTTTCCCTCAAGGGACTCACCCAGCCCGACCTCGACTTCTTGCGCGGCTTGAACTTTCAGCTACCTGCGCCCATCGGCGACCCACACGTGTTGCCGGATGCTCGACCTTGGGCATTCGAAATCTTTGCGGGGTCCGCTTCCTTGTCCAAGGCTTGGCATAATGCCGGTTTTAGGGTTTTGGCCTTTGATGTGCACGTTCGTGGTGCTGGCATGTCAATCGTGCCATTAGACCTCACTCAGGCCTCTGCGGTGAGCATTTTATGGGACTTGATCCGAAGGGTCCAGCCTGTTGCTGTGCATGTCGGCATGCCTTGTGGGACTGCGTCCAGGGCCCGAGAGCGGCCGTTGTCCAAGGCGTTGAAAGCGGCTGGGGCACCCGAACCTCGTCCGCTTCGCGACGCACTACACCCCCTAGGACTTCCTAGCCTTGTTCCCGGCTCCATAGACGCCCTTCGGGTAGCTAAAGCAAACCTGCTTTACGAGCTATCGCTAGATCTCGCCCTTCATTGCGCTGAAAAACGCATCGTTATATCGATCGAGAACCCCACCCATTCGTGGGCGTGGGGAGCAATGATTCAGGTCCTGCGCTCGCGTGGTCAGCCGCGGCAGGAGAAACTTTTCAATTCATTGCAAAACATCACTTTTCACGCGTGTCAACATGGAGGAAGCCGCCCCAAAAACACCCGGCTTCTCTGCACCGCCCAGGTCTACGACTCCATGCAGCTCTACTGCGACAACAAGCATGAGCACGCTCCGTGGAGTGTGCAGCGCATCAACGGACGGTGGCATTTTGCCACCTCCTCTGAGGCCGCATACCCGGCCCTCATGGCGGCAAGAATGGCACGATGCCTTTTGGACTTTCTGCGCCCCAGCCTCGGCTCACTCTCGGCTCGCCCTGCAAACGTGTCTGCAGCTACGGCTACTGCTGGCCGCCAGTCTAAAAAGCATGCCCCTCTCGTTCCCGAGTTTGCTCGTGTCTCGACGATGCCTTCTCCACAAGTCCAGAAAGGCATGAAAATCTTGCGTGAAGTCTCTTTTCAAGGGGAGAAGTCGGGAGACGTGCAAGATTTTTCCGGAAAAGTGGAGCCCTCCCCTGCCGTGGTTCACCCTAGTTCTCCGGGCTCTAGTAGGGATAAGTCGGGAGACGTGCAAGATTTTTCCGGAAAAGTGGAGCCCTCCCCTGCCGTGGTTCACCCTAGTTCCCCGGGCTCTAGTAGGGATCCTCCACAAAAGGATTTGGTAAAAGTGGGCATCTACCACACGCCTAGCGAGCACGTGGCTGAGGCGATGGAGTTAGAACATCCCTTTGATGTCAATCATGCGGTTTCTCCCATCACTGTGGAAGCCATTGACTTCTTGATGAGCTCAAGCCCTGAACAGGTCGTGTTGCACCGCAAACTTGCCTTGCTCAAGCTGCAGCTGCTCATCAAGAGAACAGAGAAGGAGGAAGCAGCCCTGCATGACAGCATGCCTCCGTCTGTTGCAAAGGTGATGCGTGGGAAGAAGCTAGTGGCCCTAAGGATTCTGCTAGAGCAGGAGGGGTATGATGACATGGAGTCCCTACGCTTTCTTTCCGAGGGAGTAAAGGTCATGGGTTCGGAGCCTCACCCCCCGTGTTTCGATAAGAAAGTTAAACCTGCCACACTGACCGAGATGGATCTGCGAGAAACAGCCGAGGCGAGAAGACGAGCCATCACCGGAAGCAGCACAAGGGATGATTCTTGCAAAGCCTCCATCCTGCAGGAGGTGACGCAGGAAGAAGTAAACCTTGGCTTTCTTGATGGGCCGTATTCTGCTGAAGAAATTTCAAATTTGGTAGGGCATGAAAACTGGTGTGTGATACGCAGGTTTTTGATTGAACAGGGAGCCAAGCACCGTCCAATCGATGATGCCTGTCAATCTCAAACCAACGCGGCATACAGTGCGACTATTAAGTTAGAATTGCATAATGCCGACTACATCGCATGCATTGCCCTCTTGATTGCGAAGAAGATCAAAGGTGGAGAGCAGAGGTTTGGATCAGGCGAGTGGACAGGCAAGTGCCTGGACCTGACCAAAGCCTACAAGCAGATTGCGCTCCATCCCTCTCACCGGGATCTCTGCGTAACCTACTTCAAAGGTGCGGATGGTAAAGACCGTTTCTACCTTCCTAACTCCTTGATGTTTGGCGCGTCAGCGGCCGTCTTCGGGTTCATTAGGGTAAGTAGGTGTCTGCACTTCTTGGTTAACAGGTTCTTGAAAGTTCCTTCAGCGGTTTACTTCGACGACTTCCCCCTCTTCACTCCGGTGGAAGGGGCGGAAGCGATGGACGAAGCTGTGAGCCAGTTCCTATCCCTACTGGGCTGGGATCACGCACGTACGGGTGCTAAAGGAAAGCCATGTGCACCCGCATTCGACGTGTTGGGCATGACGCTTGACCTGTCCAAGGTGCAACAGGGCTTGGTCACCTTGAAAAACAAGCCGGGACGGGCTGAGAAAATCTTGGATGAGTTTGCTAAGGTAAACTCTCCTGAGGCTATCACGCGTCACCAGGTGCAGGTTTTGCACGGGCTTCTGAACTTTGCAGCTGGCTTCTTCTCAGGGAGATCGCTCAAGCATCTGTGTTATGATTTGCTTGAATTTCTTGAATGGCGCGGAGAGGTGGCCTTCGACAGATTGCAAGGCCTCGCAGAAAGAACTCGAGCCATCCTTAACAACACTCCCCCTAGGGTGCTTTCTTGCTTGTTTGTGCCTGAGCCCATCCTTGTCTGGACCGACGGGTCTTGGGAAGACGGAGTGGCTGGCATAGGCGCGTGCATTTGGGATCCCTTGGTTAAGGTTGGCAGGGTCCTCTCGGGTTTCGTTCCTTCGTGGGCGTTGGAAACTTGGAGGGCAGACTTCGAGCACAACGATAAAGAGCCTCAGCTGATCTGTCACATTGAACTCTTCGTGATAGTAGCTGTGCGTTGGATCTTCCGAGACCAGTTCTTGAACAGAAGGCTCGTTCTGTTTGTGGACAACGAGGCTTCAAGGTTTGCCATCTTGAAAGGTGGCAGCGGCAGCAGAGGAATGAATACTCTCATTCGCGCTTTTGATTCCTTGGATGTGATGCATCCGTGCTTCTACTGGCTTGATCGAGTCCCGTCGTTCAGCAATGTAGCGGATGGCCCTTCCAGGCAGGAGTCAGACCTTGCAGTCGGGCTTTTGAAAGCTCCTTCGGTCGAAGACTTCACGTGGCCGCAAGGGCTAGAGGAGATGATCGTAGCAGAGCGCAAGAGGAAAGGGGAGATTCGCGCTTGACCCGTCTACCGATCATCCGAGTTCGGGGGCATGTGCGTTAGGGCTTTTGACTAGTGGCCGGCACTTGAGTTTCCCCTTTGTTCGCCTCGAGCGAAAATGAAGA